TCAAAAATGTCAAGAATTCCTTCCTAAGAACAACAGCTCACACTGGAGCATTTATGATGCACCGAATCCAAATCAGTTCCCAGGTGTTTTTATAATTCGTCCTCACACAACCTTAGAGGTAGTCCTGATTTAGAGAAGGGACAAAGATAGAGCGACTTAGCCAAGGTTATGGAAACGGCCCAGAGTGGTGCTGGGATGTGAACCAGGTACATCGGACTGGAGGGTATTGACCACAGGCCTGTTTCATCTGAGGGGGGTGACTACACATGCCCTGTGACTTCTGCTCTGCTTCTACACTCCCTCCGAATGTGGGTTTTGTTGGGATCGGGTTTGTTTCATTATTATTTTTTTTTTATTTTTCATTCTTTCTTTCTGGCAGATGGGGATCTGGGTCAATAGAAATGTGGGGATGCAGGGGCCAGCAGGTGGCGTGGTGGTTAAGGGCACTAGACTCTCACATGGCCAACCGTGGTTCGAGTCCCAGACCAAGTGGCTTTCTCTCTCTCTCTCTCTTTCTGTTCCTCTCTGGTCAAATTAAAGTAAATAAATAATTTTTTTTTTAAAAAAAAGAAAGAAAATAAAAGAAATGTGAGAATGTAAAGCAAAAGGAGAGAGAGATACTGTAAGTGACAACTCTTAGGGCAACATTAACCAAAAGATAGAAAAGATGGCAACTCTCACCCTTTGTAGTCCCACATGACTGCATTTTCATCTTTCTGCACAGAAAGACTGAAACGGATAGATTCAGAGCCCTCCAGATCATAAACAGCTCTGGGGGAGGAGAAGCAGACTCTTACTACAGAGCTATCCTCAGGATATTTATATTTTCTGGGGACACACACATGCACGCACACGCACAGTAAGACAGCAATGTCAAGCCTGTTCTAATGCAAGCCATCAAATTTCCTTTTCTATTAAGACCATGGACCAAAGTTGAAAGATCTTCCAGGCAGTGGGAACTTGTGCTTCCGCTGGCTTCCTAGCTGACAAATCACAAACATTTTACCACCCAATCTGCTGGAAGACAAAAACTGAACTGATAAACTAGAGAAATTTTCTAAAGTCTAAGAAGACCAGAAGGAAAGAGAATATGTCCGTGGAATACAGATAATTTTATATTATGTTATATACAGTAACATCTATGTATATAATAATGTCTACTTTTGTTTATCTATTTTACTTAACATTTTCCAGGATATGATTAAGCAGATGGCAACGTGTGCAGTAGGATAAATATTGTTCTGTGATCCATATTTCAGTATACAAAGTGTACTGCATCGCTCCAACAAAATAAAACTCTATTGAGAGTGTGAAAAATGAACCATCAATAAAATAGCCTCTGTTGTCTCAGGTCTCAAAACATTTGGATAGAAAGAAAAGCTACGCCTCAGAAGACGTGAGCACCCAAAGCGAGCTGGATCCGGTGAACAATCTTTCCAAGTCACTGCCAATGTCTGAAAAAGTCCTCAGTTATCTGAGTAATGTGAAGTATGAGGAATTTCTGCCGAAAAATCAACATTTCAAAGGGGTCAGATTATAATACAGAAACCCCATTCTAGTTTAAGTGGGGGGAGAGGAATAAAAGATATTTCTTAAATGAAACTCAGAGTGACAGTTTCTCTAAGGGCATAAGTAATAAATGTGAGGACTTCAAGAAAATGACTAAACGGGAAAAAAATATTTGTTATGCTAACAGCATACACAGGGCTCTCTCATTTTCTCCAAAATCTATTCAGAACCTGTAGGCTGATCTTTCTAACCGCCCCACCTCCATATTTCCCTCCTCTTAAAAGTGAACCTGTCCGTTTCTTCAATTCTGAAATGACAGTGAAATCCACAGCTTACTAAAGACCCAATGAAGGAATCAGTGTCACAGCCACAAAACTCAGCTGCAATCCACCCAATAATTCTCATATTTAAGAGCTTTGACAGAGGGTGAGAAAAGGGGAGCTCGCAATCCTTGACAGATGTACCCATCTTGACGCTCTCCTCAAGCTCCCAGCCTCTCAGCTGCTCCAGAAACTGGGTATTTCATCCCGGCCTCTTAAATGCACCAAAAATACAATCAGGTCTTTCCACTGAAGTGGAGCTCCCCAGACCTAAAAGGGGTACATGCAGAAGCTCTGAGAGTGGGCTCGAATCAGCAAGGTCTGCTTTAGAAAATGCTCTCTATACCATCCCCATGCCTGCCTGAAACTCTGCAACACACCCACTGCCACCTGAAGCCTCAGTGCCTCTCCATGCGAGAACCACAAATGTCCACCCGACCAGCAACCAGCACTGAGAAAGTGCATCGCCTCGCAAGCATGTGCCTCACAGCGCTTTGCAAGAGCCAACTGCAAAACCACGAGAATTTCTTTTTGTTAACATCCCACTCTTGAATCTTTCTCCATCACACGAGCAGCCCCAACAGGGTCTGGAAACAAACCATGTGTTGCCAGGGCCTCGGTGGCTTGGGAAACGGTCTGGTCCTTTCCTTGCCTGCAATCCAAGCGCCAGCTAGACCGGACTTTGGGGACAGCCTGCCCCCTTCTGGTCTCCTTGAGCTCCATAGAAGGGCAGGGGCCGGGTGGGCACAATTAGAGGACTGAGGACCCCGGGCTGGAGCCAGCTTGTCTACATTATTATTTCAGGATCAAGCAGGCCACTGAGGTAGATGTGAGGGAGACAAAAAAAAAAGAGGAAAGGGACGAGCAAATAAAATAAAATACAAATGCAGAGTGCAGACAGTCAACAGGATGGTGGACAACTCCTAGGAAAGGAAGACCAAAACAATAATCCAAATACAGAGCAGCAGTGGAGAGACTAGGACGCTGGGCCACACGGGTGGGGGGATAATAACTGAACTTGCAGGCAAAAGCAGAGTTTCAGAAAAGCACAGCAACTTTTCAGCTGATGCTGGCATTCCAAAAGGAATCAAAAAGAAAAATGGCAAGCCCCCTCCTCCCTTCCCAACTGCAAACTTTTCTGTGGCTGACCCGAACTTGAAAGAGTGAGACGCTGAACTGAACACACAAACAGAGGTTGCGGGTAGATGCTCAGAATGTCGGGGACCCACGGAGAAATCAGCCAGCCTGGCCTCCTTCCTTCCTTCACTTGTTTCAACAGGTGGCATTTTCACCCTGAAAGTGCCTTCTGAACCCCAGAAACAGGATAGGGAAACCCCTGCCTCCGTGTCCACCTTATGTGGTTTTCCATGGGCCAGCAGTATCTGCACCTGGACCCTTCCACCCCAACTCCCCAGAGGGCTCCGAATTCAGAAACAACTTCGAATTGCATTCCT